CAGGTGAGGCTTTTGCATCGTCTTCGCTGAAGCATTTCGTCTTTTCCTCTTCTCAGTGCCAGCTTGCCTCCACGCCGTGTCTTCTCGTTTGTCCTTCTTTAGTGCGCCCGGCGCGCTGATCACATTCATCCTCCGTACCGTGTCCTTCCGTCTCGGATCCCCCTTCCGCGTCATGTCCTTTCCTCCCCCCTGCCGACCCTCGCTCCCGATCCTTCCTTCTGGCTCTCTTACCTCCACTAACCCTACTTTTCCGCACGCAGCGCTGCCATCGACATGCACACGACATGAGCGCTGCTACTCGGACCGGCGCGCGGGATGATCCTCGCCAGTGCGAGCTTTCCTCTGTGAGTCAAGTCGTCCGTCCCTGCCTGTCCCTCCCCTGTTCTGTATCGTTACCCCCCGCTGCCCCCCTCGTCCCTCTTCCCACGTGCGCCCTCCCTTCGTCGGCCCTCTCCGCGCTGTTGGTGTGCCACGCCGCGCGCGGTCGAAATCGAAAGCGGGGAGAGGCGGGGTGCTGGGCGCACTCGTCCCCCTGGGCGGCGAGGCGTGGGCACGACTGAGGCGGGAATGCGGCGCAGAGGTGGTGCGCGCGGAGTCCCCGCGCGCGCATCTGCCGGCGCCGTTGGCGAGCAGCGCAACGCGGCGCCGCACGGGCGAGCACGTTACCGCCGACTTCCCGCCCGCGAAGTAACTGCGCCACGGCGCCGGCGGAGGCGGTGGTGTGGCGAGCAGGGTCCCCGCTCGCGGCGAAGTTGCGCACGTTGGCGAGCAGCGCGGCAGGTGGAGGTGGTGCCGTCCGAGCACGCGCAGCTGGCGGAGGCAGCTGAGGCGGCGCGGGTCGCGCGCACGGATGGGAAGACGCTAGAGCGTGGTGATGCAGATGACCTGCACGTGCCATGCTCCGCTGACGCCCGTGCGAGGAGCACGGAAGGGCGGCGGCGGTGGCGCTGGGCGAGCGTTATCCACCCCGAGTGCGGCGGAGACGGGACGCAGCGGGAGCGCGGATAATCCGCATTCCGCAGCGCTTCAGGCGTGCAGATCGCTGTCGAGGAGCGCGGATGTGGGTATGGGTTGCCTCGCGAAATTGTCGAACAGCATGGTGCCGGTAGGGTCGCCTGCGTCATCGACTCTGTCGGGATGAGCCCGGGGGGTGTGGCGGAGAGTCCTGTGGGCCCGTACGCCGCCTCCTGGTCGCCGCTCGTACATTAACTCACGCACGCAAGGAGCACGGTGGTGTTTTTGGCGCGGGAGTGGAGGCGGCGCGAGGCGTCGATGATCACGCGGCTGCGGCTCGTGCTCCGTGCAGAGTGTGTGCTGCCCCCTTAGTCGAACGCTTGCTTACCCTGTACACATCCGCACCCCACTCAATATTATATCTTTCCCCGCATTCCTTGCGCTGAATTCTCAGCAAGGTGTCGAGCGCATTGCCGTGAGACTCGAGTGGTGCTGGCTCCACCACCAACTCTCCCCACCACATGATCGCGTTCTTAGATAGCGGGAGTGAGTTTCTTGCTCCATAAGGATACATACGCTCAGATCACCCCGAATACGCGCTTTCTCACTCGGAACTCCGAGGGTGCGGATGAAGTCTTCGAGAGAGGTTAAATGGGTACGCATCTTCTCTCCACATGGCTTTTTGTTTTTAACTGCAAACATATGATCCAATCTGTCAACCCCGTCAACCGTAAATAAAATTAAAATTGTATCTGCCTCGAGTTATCTCCTCGGGTAAACAATCTTACGACGTTTCCTGCGGTCGTATTAGAAGTCACGGGAGTGAGTTTCATATTCCACAAGGACTTCGCATAATCCATCAGCCCTTACAAAGCACTCCAAGGACTTGGATCTGCCAGAATACATGAATAGGGCGTGAGTTCATGAGAAATTACTGCTTTTGGGCAAGTTTCGAGGCACGTAGTGGAACACCAGAATTAGATTTTTTTAAAAGCATATTTTTGAGTCATTTACTTGTGGGCCACATTACTATGAAGTTTATTCTGCCACATGAAGTCGGTCAGATGTGTGAGTGAAGCGCTACACAACGGAACATGAACAGCTGAATTGGTGATTAAAGAGTGGACGCAGGGAAAACGAAAGCCAGTGTGGACCCGAACAACACAATGGGAAACAAATTTTGTATGCAAGGACCCTTTAGATCATGGTCATTGTCGCCCCGGAGACCAACAGAGAGATCAGCATGGGTATCGTAAGTCTCCCTCCCGTGCTCGTGCCAGATACGGGCGGGCCAGAGCCCGATGGCGCAGATGTGCCGCCTGGGCCCGACGCAGAGGACGTTGAATCGGGGGGACACGGCGTGTAAGAGGCCGATACGATGAACACCTCGTCCGAATACACGACGAAGGGCCCCGGATTGTGCGGATCGGGACTCGTAAAGTTGGTTCGCATCTGGAGAGGATATTTGGGTTATGAACGACCACGGGTACGAGTAAAATGTAAGCTGGCCTTCCAAGATCCGGGGTCAAGCGTAATGTGGCTGATATAGTAGACAAGCGACAGCTCACCGGTGATACGTGAGATCTGGAGAAAACGTAAGGCCAACTCATATACCCATGATCCTATACATACGATCGTCTGCACGCCAGCACTGAATCCGGTCTGGGTATTCACCATCTCCATAGTTTGGTTCATGTTCTCCGCCTGCACACATGAATGAAAGATTCAGTTAAAGAATATGCAACGTACATCGAATGTAACGTCAACTTTCGTCAATGTCCCTATGATGGACCCATCGGTCTCCGATGGAACGATCAGGCTCCCGCCCACAGGGTCGGTGATGCGCAGTGGAGTATACCCGGGGTCCGTGAGGCTCCGCACAGGTGTCCACGTTATAGGGTGGCACGGATCTGGGAGAGCGATGCCGGTGAAATTGATTGTATTCGAAAGGGCTGTTGTTGTGCCAATCTGGGTGGCGCCTGTCCAGATAGTGCCGTTCATGCGGACGTGGTATAATCCTGCTGGCATCTATATACTTTTGAACACCAGATGGGAGAATCAGGGCGCAGACGCTGCAGAGCTAAGTGCTTACTCAAGAACACGAGACCTGCTGCCAGATCGGGTGGTAATGGAAGACGGAAAGTGGGTGAAAAAGGTTCTCGCCTTTCGAATGTACCTGCGTGTTCGAAATAACAAGCATAGACTAGCCTTAACCCATGCCGTGCTATCGGGGCATTCTCTTGCCATGGAGCGCATGCGGTGGGCTGAGAGGTACAAGGACCCGGTCCCTAAAAAATATAGATTGTGTCGCTTCTGCAAGAACCACCTGGAAGATGCCATCCATGCAATGTTTGTATGCAAACATAATCCATTACTCCTGATCAGAGATAAATTCTTTCAAAAACTGTTCAAAACACTGCCAGAGCTACGTGGAGTCTATTCAGACCCAGGTTTATTTTTCAAAGACCTTCTAGTCAAACCAGAGATAATTGGGCTTCTTGGAAAACTGGCTTATGATAGTTTGGAAATTTTCTACAAAGAACCGATGCTGGTAATTAATCCAGCAATATATGCCCCTAATCAGTAGGATGGTTGAGTTGTAGCCCTGGGCCGGTCGCTCAGCTGCCTGCTCGATTTATTTTTATTTTTACTCTTCTTTTTCTTTCTTTATTCTTCTATCTCTTTTTCTCTTCGTAGTTACTCCAGCATACGTGCCCGGAGGGACTGTTGAGTTGAAAGTGGTTAGATGAATCCTGGCTGCCGGGGAGTTAGAGTGCACTCTGAGGGATCAGAGTGAGCTACCCATGAGGTTTTACCCGAGCAACCAGCCTGCTTTTGTCCGAGCCAGGCCGGGGATATTATTTGACCACCTATACTTTCCGCCCCCCTCTTGGTAGTACGTGTGTTCTATGTATAGGGCAGGTAGCTTTTGCCCTCATAGGGTACCATGTCCTACATAGTAAACTGGCAGTTCCAATTGTGGGACCACGTCAGTATAATATATCCTCCTCCTCCGGTGCGCGGCAGGCCCTGGTCACTCCCTAATAGGTCGGTCCGCCTTGTCTAAAATTTATCGTACTTTCACTCTATGAAAATCGGGTCCAGGGCCAGTTTTAGGATCAGCTGGGCCACTGATGGCGGCTTCAATTATTCCCATGTACTGTTTCAACTTAGCCTCCCTAGGCGTAGTAAACAAAAAGCTTTTGTAGAAGCCACAAATGGCTCGGGCCCGAATCGAACGAGCTGCTTTCGTATAATGTCCTTTTAGGAACGCAGATGTGGACTACCCACCACCGAGCCTTCATTACCCTCTATCCACTCCCACTAACATCAGCATTTTCCCGAGCCTCCCAAAGCGTACTGCAGTAAAAGAAAAGTTGCGACGGAACATAATCATGACTCGGCCCCGAATCAAATGAGCTCCTTCTGCATAACCTGTCCGAAGTTCGACGCCATCTACTACCGAGCCGTTCCAAGCCTTGAGATGGCTCGGGTTATACTTGCCCGAATTTCTTCAAAATGTTGCTCGAACCAGACCGACCTCCTTCTACTTAAACTGCTGGTGCCACTGAAATCTAGAATGGACCACTGAGCCTTCCTTACCCTCTATCTACTCTCACTAACATCAACATTTTTGTGTGGCTCCCGAAGCCCAGTAAAAATAATAAAAGGTTCGATGGAACCCTTCGCACGGCTCGTGCTCGAATCAAACAAGTTGCTTCTGCATAATGTTTTCGACGAGCAGGCAACTTGGAACGCAGACGTGGGCCTCCCACCACCGAGCCTTTATTCCCTTCTTTCAAGCCTTAATACCACTGTATTCTCTGAAACTCTAACTGCCCAATGCCCAGTGACAACCTTGACATCGAACATCCAGATTCCACATAAAGATGTATCGAATATTGACTATCGAACGGTGTACTATAATTTCTTGGTGTAGTTTCGGTTAGACTTTGCATTTGTGTTCGTACGAAACAGAGGGCTTTCGACACCATTGGACACAAACTGAACGGACGAAGAAAAAGGTGGACATACGAACAACGGAATGCCGTCGGGGGAATCGAACCCCCGGTTCCTCCCGTTTATAGACAACATTCATTAAATGGCGAAGGTGACCTGCCACTGGTCTACGACGGCTTGGATCCTTTGAACTGCGCCTGGGGAAATGCGAAGAATTTGGACGGGTGCCGTGCATGATGAACGAATCGACTTTCAATGCGGAGGTGCGGGGTTTGCATAAGTGGGAGTTCAAGTGCCGAGCGAAAGGGAGTTGGAGTTGGAGTTCGAATCCGAGAATTCCGTTCGAGGCTCAGCTATTGTAACCCGAGAATCAGAAGTCAAGCCCTGCGACTTGAACGTCCCTTCACTCACGGTATGCCGAGCGTGATGATTCGGAGGAGAGAAGGTAACGTTGGCCTGGATGCCAAAAAATCAAGTCACTGCTCATTCGGAATTCCAACATCGACGTGCCTGAGCTTCCACTGATCCCGATCGAGGAACGTATACATAGACGAAGCGAAATACGCACTGCAGCGAAGAAAGGTCTGCGATTGAAGGTAAACTTGCACGAAGCCCCGTCGATTAGCATGCCGAAAATCCGAGTCGTTGGCCAGATATCCGGCCCTGGATGGGTGATTTTAATACTGGATATAAAGTCTCCAGACTAGTTGAGGTCTTAGGGTCAGTCATTCTTATGGATAGGAAGATAATCAGGAAAGAACGGAAAGAGTGAAAGCAAAGGGGGGAAAGGGGGGAAAAAAGGATGACCCAGACCCGAATCGAACGGGTGTCTTCCGCGGAAATTGCGAATAATCCGACCTAAGCTATGCGGATGCGAAGCCACTTCGCCCATACCCTACATGGGGTAATATGCTGTTCAGTTTGGGGATTTAATCCCCCATATATAGATTGGGCCGAGTATATATATAAGCTTAGGAAACCGGCATATATATTGCGAGCAGATATCTAAACTAAGGAAAATATCGAAAATGGGGTCCATATATCGAGAAAGTAAGTCAAGTGTTATATCGCGACTGTCTGCCGGTCGTTATCGCAAACGTGAACATGTACATCATATATTTTGAATCGGTGCGTATATCTAATTTGCCGGACAGGTATATATCTAAATCAGTTTCACGACATAAAATATAGTCAGAATCCGCCGCCATCGTCTCGGATGGCGAACAAAGGTGCCCGCTCACCGTCTAGGGCAGTGAGCGGGTATGCAGCGGCCGCGGCGGCGTCGCGTCGGACACAGTGCAGGCTTCGGATCACGGGCCGATATTTGGTGCTGTATGGCTGTCATCCATTTCTGGAAGCTCGACTTGGACTTCCGCCGCTCGACACTGGGTCTTACACAGAGCCTACAATTCCTCTGTGCCCCCTTCGGCAGCCCGCATCAATGTCTCATGGCTCTGTAATGCCCGCCCACAAACAAGTACCACTGGCAGTGCATTTCAGTGCATCAAGACACAAGTCCAGGACGTCCTGAGGTCCTCATGAACCTCTTCCTCGTGAACCTCCTCGTGGATCTCCTCCTCGTGAACCTCCTTGTGTACCTCCTTCTCATGCGCCTCCTCACTCGCGATGCTCCATACAGAAGCTTGTCTCGCACCAATGCCTGACTCAATACTCTTGTGGATCACCAGCTTGGCCGCGCGCTGGCCAGAGAAGCCGGACGTGCTCTTAGCCAGGAAGTGTGTCGGTGGCATCGGCATTGGCGAGGCGGACGAGGACGCGCCCCCGAGCCCGACGCCGACGACGCGCCGTCCGCGGGCGTCAGCCACTGGCCTTGCCCTTCTTGTTGACGCCCAGCACCTTTGTCTCGGCTGCGACGCGGGTGCTCGAGGCGGCGTGGGCGTGGGACACGTGGGGGAAGTACCACCGCGCGAAGGCGAACGCGGGCGTGCGGGGCGGGGCGATGCGGGGGCCCGGAGCACGTGTGCGGAGTACACGGATCCGGAGGCGAGCGTGGAAGTGGACCAGCGCGAGCAGGGCACCGGCCTGGGCGGGACGTCTTTTTGTTCGCAGGCACGGGCTGCGGGGGCGGTGGGTGTGGGCGGGAAGTGCGCGAGCCCTGCCGGCTCCTCCGGGGCAGCGTACGTGATCAGCGACAGCGCCTCGATGGGCGAAGGAGGCGGCGAGGAAGAGCACGGCGCGGGCGCGACGAGCGGCGAGAACGGCACGTTGTCGTACGTCTCGTCCCACTCTTCCCATAGTCGGAGACGTCGGAGGGTACCTTGGGCGTGCTATGCAGTGTGGGGGAGAGCAGCGCTGCGAGGCGCGTGCTGGGGCTGCTGCTAATCGAGGGCGAGGCTAAAAGAGGAATGGTCAGCCCGGGAAGAAATGCGGTGGGGAGGATGAGACGTACGCGAGGCAGAGGAAGAGGAGGTGAATGGCACGGGTGAGGGAAGGACCGAGAGCAATGGCGAGGACAGCGCCGAGAGGAGGGCGCCATACACGTCGTAGTCACTGCCACTGGGCGTTGGTGGGGACCGGCGTGCGCGGGGGTGGTCGCGCTTCAGCAACAAGGAGTCCACGAGGAGCGGACCGGCACGTCGATGAAGGACCTCCGAGTGCCGAGGGACTGGACATCTACCAGCTCGCAACGTCCGGGCTATGATAGCCTGACAGTTGACTGGAGCATACGGCGGGCCACAGCTGCAGGTGAACCGCTGAGCCAGTAGAGGGCGAGATGGTGGTGGTTAGCCATCAAGCTCGCCGGTGAATCGCCAAACACCGAGCCGCGCTTTAAAATTATACAACCACGTTGCGTTGATGATCACGTGGCCGCACGCGACATCGCGATCCGTGATCCGAAGCGCGAACCGCGTCCGACGCGACGCCGCCGTGGCCGCCCCATACTCGCCGACCACCGTGCATGATGGGCGGGCATGGTTTGCCACCATCCGGGACGATCCGAGAGATGCCAACTAGAATTTTGATTGTACGAAACCAAATATATATATGTCAGTCCAACTTTTAGATAGAACTCATCCGCGGCACATTAGATATATTTGGCCAGCAAAACTGTGATATTACCTTGAGACTTATAATATCAGCACTCAGATTTGCAATGGGGACTGACAGATATTCGCGATATAACTACTAGACTCTCAGTATATGTATTTGCTTGCAGGTTCGATATATATGCCCGCTTCGCAAACTTATATATATACTCGGCCCAATCTATATATGGGGGATTAAATCCCCAAACTGAACAGCATAGGGTAACACCAACCTTTAATCAAATATTAAGCTCCCAGCTGAAATTCCGACCTGGGTTCAAGCACTATGTTTTCCCAGCGTCGAGGACGACCCGCGCACAGAGAAAAGTGCCATACACAAACAGAAGAAGAGAGAGAAAATTTCATCCTGAAAAGATAGAGACCCAGACCCGAATCGAACGGGTGCCTTCCGCAGAAGCTCAGAGTTTGGCTTAAAGACAGCGGATGCCAACCACTCCGCTACTGGGCCCGTGGTATTGTACAGGAAAGCCGGCCCCAACACAGAGCTATCAACCCCGCCACGGAATATTAAAAGCAGGCGAGGGAAAAAGAATTCTACTGGCATCTCACTATGACCCAGGCCCGGATCGAATGGGCATCTTCCGCAGAAACTACCCGTGGCATCCAAGTTAAGCAGACGCGAGACCACTTCGCCACTGGGTCGACACACCCAGAGATCCCGGATCGAATACCTAGTATCAAAAACGTTGAGGATAGTCGCGGTGAACGAAACCTTGGGCTTGAGAACTTGATGAATACGGCCAAGAACCAGACATTGTTGGAGGTCGCAGCGAGGCTTCCAATCTCGTCGTCGTACCAGATCGTACCAGTCGAGCCAGAGCAAGTCCGACGTAAGGCTCCAACCATTTCGTTTCCGTTTGTGAAAGTCCACAAACCAAACGGAAACGGTGAAAAAATGTTTAAAAACTGTTTAAACTGTTTACAAATGGTATGGTCGGGTAACATTCTTTCACCTCTGTGAATGGATTCACTGTAGTGCTTGGGGCCCCTTGGTGTCTTCCAGGGTCTCATATATATCTCCAACATCAATGCTGGGGGTTATTTAGGACCTGAACATACGAGTCTAGTTTCGCCGAGATGCCCGGGGGCGGTCAGTTCTGGAAATATCTCATCAATCAAGTATTCACGGTGAGAGTTGAAGGTCTAGATGTTAGCTCAAGCATTCAACCGTCTTGTTGTGCACCATAATTCCAGTATATGTTGGAAAAAATCGGTCGCCAGGTGGTTTATCTCCACAACCATTTAAACTGTTTGTTTACTATCCGTTTATCATTTATGCAGGTCCATAAAATAAACGGAAATAGAAACGGTTTTATCCGTTTAAAACGTTTAAAAACGGAAATGGTTGGAGCCTTAGCAAGTCGCCGTTGAGCTAAGTGGAAGAAAGGGAAAGCGGTGCACCCTCTTTACCTGTGTTTATCCCTCTCTCATCCCTCATCTCCCTCACTGAAAATGTCCAAACGACCAAGCTCGCCCTCTGTTGCTGGCGCGGGCATAAAGCGGACCAAGGGGATGCCTCGCAGAATCCACTAGCAAAAGGCTGATCCGTGTACCGCCCTTTGGTCTTCGCGTCCGCCTCGTGGCCCTCGTCGTGTGCGCCCTCCCTTCTGCCGCGCGTGCGGGATCTCTGCGCGAGGATGGCCTCAGCATCCGGCTCTTCTTGGGAGCCCTCCTCGCCCTCATCCTCATCCGATGTGCGCCCCGCAGCCGTGGAGGACGATTGCCACGAGCTGCGTGTACGGGTGTGGGCTAGCACCGCACTTCTTTTGTCGTCGTTTTCCTTCCACTTTCCTTCATGGGCACCCTCGATATGTCCTTTTTCTTTCTTTCCTTTCTTCGCACTGCTGGTTCTGCGGTCGCTCCCACCCCCTCCCTTCCACCCGCTCGTCATTGTGCCCGTGCCCCTTCCCCCCCGCCGCGCGCGGCGTCGTCATTGTAATGCTCATGTGTGCTCGATGCGGCTGTGCCCCACTTGTCGTGCCCGCGCTCCAGGCCTGCTATCCCCAAGTACAGCACAGTAGAACTTGCATTAATGGAATGGAAGTTCACTTGCATCCACATAGTGGAAGTTCTGTTTAGAATCAGCATCTAGTTCTTCAGTCGAAACTGCCTTGGCTGTTCAAGTTCGACGCACCATCCTTGGATTCTGATTTTCTCCTGGCTCTCGTGGCGCACCTACGCAGGGACTAGTAATTGAGAAAATGTGAAAGATTGTCTTTCCGCCGCCCCGCCGCCGGTACGACCCGCCGCAACGTTCGGAGGTTCTTCCTGAGCTTCTTCTAACATTCAAGAGCGCAGCTCCAGCGTGGACTCGGACATATTCAAATTCGCTTGGCATGGCTTGGGCTCTTAGTTACGATACTCCCGTCTGAGCCTAGCGTCTTGCGCTGTGACACCAAATTGTGAGACAAAAAAGCGAGGGAAAAAAATGGGGGAAAAAAACTGTTTGACCAACTTCTTATGACCCAGACCCGAATCGAACGGGTGTCTTCCGCAGAAACCTATTCGATGGTATCGCAAACTGAGCGGATGCGAGACCACTTCGCCACTGGATCCATATTCCTAAATATCCCAGCTCGAATAGTATCCGCATCCGAAAGTTCAACATCACAGGACGCGGTCTGTGCACGTCTGTGAGCTCTGGCCCACTAACAAAAAACAAAGCCTTGCATTCTGAGTAAGCAACCCTGAACGTTTGCCACTTGCGCCCCGTCAGACTTCTCAGGTTCTTCTAACTTGGCTAATACCAACCGTTGAGACGGAAAAATGAGGGAACTTACAAAAGAAATTGGAAAAGGACTTTTGCACCAAGACATGACCAACACCCGTCTTGTTCACTGTTCCATCACTCTGGGAAACCGAAAGGAAATCCAGACAGCCATACATTTGTGGGGGTGGAGAAGTCGGCGGGTTCAACCCGTTGAGCTCCAGGACGTAGGGTGATGGGGATACTGGAGAATAAACGCTGAGCCCTACTCTATGTACTAGGGCTGCTCAATTGTCCTGTTGTTCGCGTCAAGGTGTGCCGATGCGCGACGCGCTGCGGATGAGCGTGCGGTGATAAGGTGTGCATCCTTGCGCGCCTGAAATCTTTGTTTTTGCACAAGTACAAGCGGATGGCTTGTGCTTTGACTCCAGTAAGACTAGAGGGCACTGGTTCAATCCCAGAACCGAGTGTTAAGCCGCTTGAAGCATTGCAAACTAGCATAGCCAACAAAGGAAGACCAGGTTGCCATCTGAGGTACTCTTTACAGGGGCTTAAGATACTGGCCTGGGCTTCAAAACACACTAGCTAGCCATAGGACTCACCCGGCACGGAGTGTTGAGCAAACGCTACAAGCTCGGTGTCAATATGGATGTTAGGCAATCAAGGGACTTTGGGAGGAACTGGAAAGACTAACTATTGGCGCGAGGTTCAGAAACTGAAGCCAGGAGATCATGAAAGGAACACAGGAAAATAAGCCAAGTTGGCGCCAGGAAATGTTACTGAAGCAATCGGGTGCCAATTCTTGAGTTCCAAGAATAGATGGTACAAGCTGGTGCCAGGCTGTGTACGACATGTTGGCACCAGCCCTTGAACCAAGATTGGGCACCAAAAATAACACACATACCTTGGCGCGAGGTACAAGCTGGCACCAGGCTGTGTATGATATGTTGGCGCCAGCCCTTGAACCAAGATTGGGCACCAAAAATAACACACACATACCTTGGCGCGAGGTCCCTGAAGGAGGAAGAGCCGTAGAGGAAGGATGTACAAGTTGGCGCCAGGAAGTGTACGAAATAAGACATACCTTGGCGCGAGGTTCCCAAAAGGAGGAAAAACCCAAAGAGGAAAATTGTACAAGTTGGCGCCAGGAAGTGTACGACATGTTGGCGCCAACTTCCCTTCAAAACTCCCGATGAGGTCAAGGATGTCTTGAGTAATGGAGGTTTACTAGTAGGCTTGGCACTCGCTTAGAGAGGCTGTTAGCCGATGGTATTAGCAGGAGACAATTATGAAGAGGAGGGTTTTAGCGAGGCTAGCCGATGAAAGACAGACCCTTTTGGGTTGGATTAGCTAGAGCTGGACTCTCATTGGCTTGGGAAGCTTACTGCGGCTCGCTAAGGCTGGCCAAGGAGACAGGATAACCGAGAATTCATAATGAATGACAAAGAAGACATTAGGAGGAGGTGTCTAAGCGGCGCCAAGGCAAAGGGTGCACTAAAAATAGAGTCCACAGGGCTCGCTTATACCTTGTTATTATTCATTCAACGTTTGTATATCTTGCTTAGTTCAGTAGTATAAAAGCCGCATGTAAATCAGTAGATAGACAGTGAAGATCACCCCCGTTGTTGGCACATAGCTCTTTTGAGCACAGAGTTTCGCTCAGTCACTGGTTAAAGCTGAACACACCACATCCACACTCAGCTGCCGTCCAGTCACTGAACATAGTTTCAAACTCGGCGCCGGTTCAGTCACTGGTTGGTGTGGTAAAGCCGCAACTACACTCGGCTTCTGTAGGGATTGTCCAGTCACTGGATTAGCCAAGGCACAGGTTACATCCATACTCGACTCAGTCCAGTCACTGGTTGGCGCGGGCACTCCACACTCAACTACGTCCAGTCACTGAGTAGCGCCAGCTACTTCAAACTCGACTATGTTCAGTCACTGGTTGGCGCGGTCACTCCACACTCGACTCAAGTCCAGTCACTGGTTAGCTAAGGCAACAGCTACATCCACACTTGGCATCCCACCCTTCAGAGACCATCTCGTTACAGTTTGCAGGGCGTGTCAAAAGACTGATCACTTGTAAAAACTTAACTTGACTCTCTTAACCAAGAGTTCTTGTTGTGACTCGGAGGCGCGCCAAAGACTGGTCACTCGGCACAGTCCAACTACTCTTCAAGAGCCCGTTCTGTTATAGCTGTGCAAGGTGTGTCAAAAGACTGATCACTTGTAAACTTAACTTGGGTCTCACACATAAAGCCCAACCTCGGAGCCCATTCTCACTCGTAGGCTTGAAACCCCTACACAAATCGAGATAGTCCAGTCACTGGTTTAGCTTCGCACTAGTGCCATAAATCCACACTCGGCTTCGTCCAGTCACTGATTAAATTCAAACTCGGCGCGAGTCCAGTCACTGGTTGGCGCGAACTGGAAACTTCATCCAAACTCGGCTTCTCTGCCCCCGTGTCCCATAAGACAATTGAACCACTGCGTTTGAGAGTCCTCTGCAACTGAAATACTAGTTGTATCTATTGAAATTGAAGGGTCGATACAAGTACCCGCCACCCCGAACTAAATAACGATCAGGTGGTTGGAGTGTTTAGTTTGTTGGAGTTTAGTGTTAGTAAGAGTTAAGACTTGTTGTCTTACTCTTTTGACATTAGATTTCACGGCTGCGCGCCACTGCACCGTTTCAGTGGGACAGTGCAGCAATCGCCTTATGCCGGGCCTCACAGCACATCCCGCGTGTGCGCCGCGAGCACGACTGCGCCTTCCCTTCCGCTTTCCTTTCATCCTCATGCGCACGCTCCCTGCGCTCCCTTCGTAGCCTTCCGCTCGCTGCCCTTGCTACCCTCCATCCATCCCTTCTTACTCGTTGGAAGCCGTTCCACCTTGTATTCGGCCGCGCGCAGCTGCGTCTCTTCTCCTCCGCTCTCGTCCCGTCCTGGTGACCGGAGTGGGGAGTCGCCGTGAGGGCAGAGGGAGTCGGAGAGTCGGAGTGGGCTAGCGCGAGTGAGAGGAGCGCCCCGTCCCTTCATCGTGATTTGGGCTCTGTTCTCGTTGAGCGCAGCGGAGCGTGATTTCGCATCGTCGTCCCTCCCTTTCCTCCCGCTTTCACCGTCGACCGGAGTGGAGCGGGCTTTGCATCGTTTCGCGCCGCTCGCGAGGCGCCCTCCTCTCTTCTCGCCTCCGTTCTGACCCACCTCCTTCCTTCTCGCCTCCCTCCTTCTCTCGTTTCATCCCTCCTCCCTCCCTCCACCCCTTCTCCCACCCGCCGCTTCTCAAACGAGCACCCGGTTGTGGTTGTGTGGTGCCCGCGCTCAAGCCAGAGTATCCTGAAATGTGTAGCAGCATTCCCTGCTTTATTCAACCCTGCCTGGTGAATGTAAACATACACATAAACTTGCGTACGGGAGTAGTACTGGAAAAAATGGAACAGATCATCTATCCCGCGGTTCTCTGAGCGTCTGTGGGCCCCATCCAAGCCCCACACAACCATTCCAAAAAGAAATTGAGTAAAACCAGGGAAATAACTACCTAAATTAAAAAGAACTCAACCACGGTATGACCCAGACCCGAATCGAACGGTGTCTTCCGCAGAAACGTTTTCAACTCACTGGTTCAAGCTAAGCGGGTGCGAGACCACTTCGCCACTGGGTCCATGGTCTACATCTGAATATTAGCTTGAATAGCGCAGGAAGGGAGGACAACGTACAGTACCACCTTTAATCAAATATTAATATCCCAGCTGAAATTTCATGATCAATTGAACTGGATTCGGGAGCTTGTGTTTTTCCAATATACGAGAGTCGAAGACGACCCGAGCGCCGAGAAAGTGCCACAAACAAACGGAAGAAAAGAAGAAAACAGCGAAGGCTAAGAATAATGGCCCAGGCCCGAATCGAACGGGCATCTTCCGTGGAATACGCCGAATGTCAGCTTGAGTAGCGCATGAAGGGAGGACGACGTGAAGGAAACCAACCTGTAATCAAATATTAATCTCCTAGCTGAAATTTCATGATTAATTGAACTGGGTTTAGATGCTTGTATTTTTCCAACATACGAGAGTCGAAGACCCAAGCACCGAGAAAAGTACTAGAAATGAACGGAAGAAAAGAAGAAAAAAGCGAACGCGAAATAATAGTGGCCGAGACCCAAATCGAACGGGCTTCTTCTGCATAACCTGGGCTCGGACCAATCATGGAACACTGATGTGGGCCTCTCTCACTGACATCAGCATTGCAGCGAGCCTCCCGAAGCCCGAGAAAATAAATAAATAAAAGATTGCAAACTACATTTCCATGGCTCGGGCCCGAATCGAACGAGCTCCTCATGCAGAGTCAGAGAATTTATAATGAAATGCAGACGTGGGCCTCCCACCACCGAGCCTTTCCTTACCCCTCTCTACTCTCCTGAACACTACCATGTTTGTGAGCCTCCCGACGCATAGTAAAAATGCTTCTTTGGACTATCCCTGTGGCTCGGGCCCGAATCGAATGAGCTCCCTGGTCACAGCAGTTCACACAAGCCCAGTAGTTTAAAAAAAACGACGGACACTATACATGACTCGGACCCGAATCGAACGAGCTCCTTCTGCATGAACTGTTTTCGCGAAACCGATAATGGAATGCAGACGTGGGCTTCCCACCACCGAGCCTTCCTTACCCACTCTCTACTCTCACTAACATCAGCATTGTGGTGAGTTTAGGTGCGCGGTTATTTCGTCTTCGCACAAATGAACCTGGATATACTCGTGCGATCATGTGCCTTTGAGTCGGAGGATTCACTATTGCCGGGGTCCAGAATCCGCCGTACCCGTTCTAAATACTGGGCTGGTTCGACCTTCATCCTCGCTCCCAGCTACCGGCCATCCACGTGCTCCCCCAGTCCAGGCGTGTCGCAGTAAGAAATTTCTTCTCATATGCATCCCATCTCCTACCAGAATATTTACCCCCCTTGTCAAGTAGATTGAACCGGCCACGCCCCTCGGCGGAGGCAGAATAAAATCTCAATCAGCGGTGAAACGGCTGGGACGCTCGTCAGCGCGGGTGGATGCACACACCGCCTCCAGGTAGACACGTGCCGACCGGTGGGGGTCTTCGAGAGTCCGCTCGTGCACATATATGGCCGAGGGCACGTCACCACACACGCGGCTGGACGCCAAGGTGCGTTTGAATTTCCAAGTTCATGCATTATCGACTGGACTGGACTCGTGTGTTTGTCAACTAGTACTGGAGAGAGAATTGGAACGCGCCGTCGAACGAAACTGTGCGCATATAGCTCGATCGCCAGATGGGCGTATCCGCCCACAGCCTGAGGCACATAGCGGCATTGTGCGTACGCGTGAGAAAGGTGGGGTGAAGTCCTGGATGCTGAGTCGACCGGCTGCTGATCCTAGTAGTAGTAGTAAATGGTAATATTAGCAGAAAGGACTCAACACGACAATACTAAAACCTACCGACTCGGATGTGGGTGCACCGTGCAGCGTTGAGGACCCTATAACACACTCAAATGAGCAAAGAGTGCTATGAGTATTACGGATGGTTAGAATAAAGCGAAACGAAACGTTACCAAAAAATGGAATGAAATATAAAGGAAAAATTTGGGAAAAATAAAACCCAGACCCGAATCGAACAGGTGTCTTCCGCAGAAACACGTTGAGGTGCTGATACAAGCTAAGCGGGTGCGATACCATTTCACCACTGTGTCCATGGTCTACATCCTAATATCATCTTGAGTAGTGCATGAAGGGAGGACAACGTACTATTGGGGACTGGGTAGTTGACCAGTCGGGGTAGTTGACCATTTGAAGAATAGAGTGCTGTACACACAAGGATATGGCTAGGTTGCACTCCGAGGAGGTAATAGGGCCAGAGACGCCAGTCTGTGTCGGATTTCGAGGCAAAGTGATGGGTTGATCGAAAGCTGTGCTGCCGTACGGTGCGGGCCGACACGTGAGAACATCAATTTCTTAACTCCGGACAGCCTTCGCCGCTTGTTTCTCAACCAATTCTGGGTCAATCCACGACTTTGGGGCCTCGTTTTATCAGGGCTCCAAACAGAGCCGCATGTGACCCTTTATATGGGCCGTCCTCTCGGACAGATGCCTACAAAGCATTGAAATGCAGCCTCAAGCCAGACAACTTAACCACCTGCACAGCCGGAGAACCATCCGAGGTACAGGTCTGGGATTGGGCATAGTCTCTTGTCTCCCTAAATGCTTGACCCTCATACCTATCCCAATATTACATCCTTTTTTTCCTCTCTCACCGACCTTCAATACAGTGAATCATCCAAATTCTATGGGTCGGACGGCAAGATTTTTTGTAGGGAGTGCGTAGTTCAAATAGTGGAGGTAGGTACTCAGATATGTCTATATCCGTCTTATGAAGTCATCTATAACTTTTTTTAGTCTACGGTGCCCTCTGACCGTTGCGCTGGGCTCGGTTAGTTACCAACAGTAATCCTGCCTTTTGCTCTCTCCTTCTGAATTAAATATTTAACCCCCACGAATAGCTCTGAATTTGGGTTTCAGGGCATAGAAATGTCAATTAGTACCTCCAATTGGACATCAGATACGCCGCAACCGCTAATCTGATCCCTAACGGTGTCTTTGGGCCAGTGGTCAGGTACCCTGAATTTGGCTATTTTTGTCATGCCAGCGGAGAAAATTCACCATGGTCTCATATCATCACCAAAATTCGACCCAATGGATTTGATCGATTGGTAGGATGCATGCCTTCATCATTAACCCGTACGGACAGTGTAATGAAACCAGTGGTCTTTGGCCATAGGCCAAAAGCCTTAGGTGGTCAAGTACCCAGTACTTAACAGTACACCCCCTGTAATCAAATATTAATCTCCGACAAGCTAAAAATTTCATGATCAATTGAACTGGATTCGGGAGCTTGTGTTTTTCTGACATACGAGAGTCGAAGAAGACCCGAGCACCGAGGAAAGTAGAAATGAACGGAAGAAAAATTTAAAAGACAAAAAAACACGAAGGTGAAGAATAATGACCCAGACCCGAATTGAACAGGTGTCTTCCACTGAAGTATTTTAATGCTAGTGTAAACCAGGCGGACACGATACCACTTCGCCAGTGGATCCTTAGCATATATATTGGAAAGCTAACTTGTATACTGATTCGCATCCATGGCCTTGGCTCCGGCAGTTCAATATCACAGGACGCGGTCTGTGCCAGTTTGTGAGCTCTGTCCCACCAAAAAACGCACTGATGTGAAGGAACATGAAGGAACAGTACCTCGACGTGAAGAGAGCTGTCAGTTTATCGGAAGATGAGAAAAAAAAGTGAAATAAACCAAACAGGAAAAAAAAGTTCTGAATATTCAAGAATGACCCAGACCCGAATCGAACGGGTATCTTCCGCAGAACTGTTCAATTCACGCTTAAGCTACGGCGGACGCGAAGCCACTTCGCCACTGGGTCCTTAACCCTACACAGGAATGCTGACTTGAGCGGAGAGCTGTGAACCCCGTGCCACGAAACGTTAGAAAAAGTTGTCGCCACTCAAATTATAACCCAGACCCGAATCGAACGGGTACCTTCCGCAGAACTGTTCAAATCGCACACCTCAGCTATGGCGGATGCGAAGCCACTTCGCCGCTAGGTCTATCATGCTCAGCATCCCAGATCGAATAACAACTGACTCTCGCGGATCAGCAAAACTTGGTCCAGCCTCCATGTTTTTGTGCGGAGGGGCTTGAGATCTTGACGAACACACTTCTTTATCTCTCTCTACCTCATGATCATAGATCGCCGTCTCGGCTAGACTGGGCCACAGCACGGCGCCGATATGGGGCCTCTTCCTGAATCCTGAGAGCCCCCATCCGCATTGCGCGCGCGGACGGGGACGCGCTGCCAGTGGGTCAGCACAGCGCAGCACATCGTTTCCCACAAAAGTTGAGCGGACGCGACATCACTTCGCTGCTCGGTCCGTACACCTAGAGATGCTTGATGTCTTCATCAGGCTCGCTTGATGTGCTATTCGAGCACGACGCGCGGGGGGTTCGGCGTCACCCGGGCTGTACTAGTATCTAAACCTTCCTATGTATCAAGCCTTTACTAGATTGAAAATACTTCAGTTGTACTCGGCATGGGGCCAAATCAACTTATTGAACCAGGCCATTGATTATTACAGTAATGTTGCTGGTGCCGCAGTGAAGAAGGGAATTAGCATGCTTGCCACCCATGGTCAACTCAATGGGACACTTTCAATTATACTTACGACCATCCGAGCAAGGCTGTCACCAAAATTAACCAGAGTCTCAATGCCTTGTCGTAAGCTTAGCGAAACAACAAAAATTCGACCTCGACACTTGGTCACGGCTCAGGCCCGAATCGAACGAGCTCGATGCTGCATGAACGTTCCTCAGAATGCATAGAACGCAGACATGGGCCACCGACCACCGAGCCTTCCTTTCCCACTCTCTACTCTCACCAACATCAGCATTTGCGCGAGCCTTCCGAAGCCCCGTAAAAATAAAATAAAAACGCGACCTGTTGGCTCGGGCCCGAATCGAACGGGCTCCTTCTGCATAAACTCCGGCTGCAAATCAAGATGATAGAATGCAGACATGGACCTCCCACCACCGAGCCGTTCCAAGCCCTGAAATGGCTTGGATTATATGTACGTCCCTTAAAAAAGCGTCCAGAGTAATCCGTCTCGATCCCACTTGAATATCAAATCCGATAGTCAGTACCCAGGAAAGGCGCGGAAAAAAAAGACAAGAACGCAAAAACCGAGCACGTTACACCGTGGATTCGAAGCAGAAGTTGCCGCGCTGCGTGAAGTGCACACCAATCTTCGCATTCTGGGATGTTGTGTCGTGTCGTGGGACGAGAGCCGAGGCGGAAAATCGATTCCTGTCAACCACATACGGCTAAGCTTGAGGAGGCACGCACCTTCCGCGGACACTTTTGCCTTCTGCCGGATCTAAAATGATAATAATAAAATACAAACCGCTTCGGCTGAATACCAGCTTGAATGGAAATAGAGAGATATCGGCCCCGAGGCAACCAAACATTAGAAAAATTCAGCCGGAAGAAAAGAAAAAAAGAAAACTGTATGTATGTATGACCCAGACCCGAATCGAACGGGCATCTTCCGCGGAAACTGAAAAATCCGTTCATGTCAAGTAGCACGGATGCGAAGCCACTTCGCCCCTGGGTCCACAGTGGTCTGCAACTGAATCCTAGATGGCAGCGCATCCACAGAGGACGAATGTGAAGCAATGCCCGTGAATATTCAACCTCCCAGCTGAAATGACAATTGAACTGCTTGTGTTTTTCCAGCATTATGAGAATTGAAGAGATGAGTGAGGAGCCCACTCGCGCACAGAAAGCAGAGGACAGTCGTAGAAACAAACGGGAGAAAAGAACGGAAAAAAGCTTGACCCAGACCCGAATCGAACGGGCGTCTTCCGCGGAAACTTCCTCCGCTCCCATTGAAAGTTATGCGGATGCGAAGCCACTTCACCACCGAGCCCATGCACCTAAAGATACCAGGTCGAATAAGTAGCATCGTTGACAAATTGCCAGTGCCAGTAAGTGCTAAATGATAAACAGTCTTCGTGGTTTTTACGCAGAGGGCTATGATCTTGATGACGGCGGGATGCAGGAGACGAGTCGCAGTTGAGTCGCAGCGCGTTTTCGATCTCGTCCGACTCGTCGTTGTACCAGTCGAGCTAGAGCAAGTCGCCAGCGAGTCAAGAACGAACCCGCTGGGCGGGCCCTGGCCGGGGTTGGATGATCTTAGCGTTCGATCCAGTTCGATCAGTGGCAAATCAGTCAAAAATCAGTGGCGCCAGGCGCGCGACAGGAAGCGGTGCATCCTATTTACCTCTGTTTACCCTCCCTCCTTCCGCCCAAGTAAAATCAAAATGTCCAAAAGCTCGCCCTCTAGATCTGCGTCAGGCGCGGTCATCAGGCGGGCCAAGGGGACACCCCCGCCCTCCTCTCAGAAACAGATCGCGGTTCCTTCGGGCAAGGACGGCACTAATAAAACAAAGGGCTCGTCCGAACGGTCCCATTCGTCTTCGTGTATCCGCCGCGCACTCGAGCATGGGGTCGGCATGCGCCTCTTCCTGGGAGCCCGCATCGGATCGGCGCCCCCGCAGTGCTCACAGTGGACTCTGGAGCACGATCAGCACGCCTCCCTCTTGGCGGCGCGCGGCGCGGACCACGGGACGCCGAGAGCGCGCATGTTCTACAAGCAGCCGGGCGTGTACTGGCCCCCACACGAGCCGATAGGTGCGTCCCTCCGTACTTCCCTCCTGTTCCTTCCTCACTTCGTGCCCTCGCTGGCGCGCACCCTTGCCCTTCCCTCTCTGTCTCACCCGTCCTTTGCTTTCTTCCGTTTCTTGGCACTGGGGGTTCTGCGTACTGCACTGTCAGTTCCGCGTCGCATGTCCGTACCCTCTCCCCCTCCCGCTCGTCTTTCGCGTACCCCCTCCCTCCTCCGCCGCACGGGCACGGTAGGCGCTGCGCTCCCATCACTCGTGTGGCGGATGCGCTCCTGTCCCTCGTATGGACGGGCGTTCCCCGAGCACATCGCGGCGCCGCCCGAGGTCGCCCGGATGTCAGATGGGTACGGCGCTCCGCCGAGAGGACGATTCAGACGGGCTGCGTGCCACGCATGCGGGAAAGCACAGCACGTCGCCGCACGAGCACGCCGGCTTTCGTTCTTGCGTTCCTTTCATCCGCCTCCGCACGCTCCCTCCCTCCCTTCCCTCTAACTCCCTCCCTCTCTTCCACTTCCACTTCCTTCTGAATCTGTATTCGCCATTCGTATCCTGCATCCGATGGGGAATGAGAAGTGGAGTGGAGTGGAGCGCTCCCGTCCGCTTTCATCGTCGACCGCAGTGGAACGGGCTTCGTGTCGCGTCGCTTCGTCCCCACCTCTCTCCCTCTCTCTCTCCTTCCATCCACGAGCCCCTGGGTCGTTGCAGCCAGCCAGGTTATCCCCCATAGAACTTGCATTAATACAGCGCAAGTTCACTTGCATCGATGCCGTGGAGTTCTGCTTAGAAAGAGGATCTAATTCTGAATCCTCGTTCGACACTGTCTGGTGAACGCATTCAACACTGCATGTCGAGCATCAGCGCGTTGATTTTCACCTGGCCCTCGTGTCGCGCTATACGTAGTACAGGAGGAAATGTAGCAGACTAGTAGATTATCTATCCCTGGCGGGCCTTACTGTACCTAAGTGACCCCGGACCTGCAGCTGACCGTTCGCCTCTACGCCGTGTCGTCAGATTTTTCCGTTTCTTCTAACTTGGCTAATACCAAATTGCGAGAGAAAAAACGGGAACTTAAAAACAAGAAAAAAAGACCGTTACCCCTATAAGACCCAGACCCGAATCGAACGGGTGACTTCCACGGAAAATTCTCTTTCAGCACGATCAGTTCAACCGGGCGCGATACCACTTCGCCACTGGATCTGTGGTCCATACTGGAATGCTACTGACTAGAGACCTGTGAGGAACTGTGTACAAAAAAAAAACAGAGAAATCATAAGCAGGAGAAAGGGACGAGAGAAAGGCTATGACCCAGGCCCGAATCGAACGGGTGTCTTCCGCAGAAACTCCGAGATTGTCTCACTGAGGTAAAGCGGACGCGATACCACTTCGCCACTGGATCCTCGGTGTCTATTTCCAATGCGAGCTCAGACATATCATTCAGAGGAGACGATATGAAGTAACAAATCTTACTCACAGGCAAAAAAAATTGAACTGAAGTGGGGCCACGCAGAGTCTTACTCCGGACCTAGTGTGGTTTGCCCAGGAGAATCGACGAGTATTTGAGAGAATAAAGGGATCATGAGGGAACTTTAAAACGGAGAGAGAGAAAAAAAAACCCTACATTCCAACCCATGACCCAGACCCGAATCGAACGGGTGTCTTCCGCGGAAACATTGTTCACACTCCGAGCTTAAGTTAAGCAGACGCGGTACCACTTCGCCACTGGGTCCATACCCTACATCAGAATATTAGCTTGAGTAGCGTATGAAGGGTGGACAACACGAAGTACCACCTTTAACCAAATATTAACCTCCCAGCTGAAGTTTCATGATCAATTGAACTTGATTCAGGAGCTTGTATTCTTCAGCATCTGCAACTAGAAAAGAGTGAGGAGCCCATCCGAGCTCGGAGAAAAGTGCCAGAAATGAATGGAAGAAGAGAGAGAAAAAAACAATTCTGAAAAAGGAATGACCCAGACCCGAATCGAACGGATGTCTTCCGCAGAAGGATTTTCCTTACTCCACAGGATCCTTGGTGTACATAGGAAAGCCACCTTCAAGAGAAAGCTGTGAGCCTCAATTTTTAACGGATTTGGATGATCAATAGTTCAAGAATTTCAGAAAAACAAATTCTATAAATTCCGCACGGAGGGGTGTTCGAAAACCCGGGACCTATGAACCCCTGCGGATCACTAAAAGAAATTAGAATGAGGAGCGTGGGAATTGCGATAAAAGTCGGTTTGCCGGGACACGTGGAAGGCCTAGCCTTAGGCCGGTTGACGGGCTTATTCTCTTCCCACACTGGTTGAAGATTTCAAGTTTTTGAGTCAAAAAACTGGTGAAAAATGTTTTGAATTCTACAGAAGTTTTTTGCCAAAAATGCAGGTGAAAAACTTGAATCATTTTCAAAAGTTTTTGAACTTCAGGTGAAAAATGCAAAATAAAATGGAAAATTACTGAAAAACTCTTGAGTTTTTCACCTAAATTTTTGGCGGAAAACTTCTGTAAAATTCAAAACATATTTCACCAGTTTTTTCACTAAAAACTTGAAATCTTCAACCAGTGCCACCACGGCACGCTGCGAGGAAATTCATTGAGGACTACAGGATGCAAGTACTATATGGCTTGGGCGACATCATTGGACCTCAAGCGTCTACTCGTCTTTAGACTCGTCGCGATCAGCCCAAGATCAGCCTACACTGGTTGAAGATTTCAAGTTTTTGAGTGAAAATACTGGTGAAAAATATTTAGGATTTTACATAAGTTTTTCACTGAAAAAGTAGGTGAAAAACTTGAATCATTTTCAAAAGTTTTTGAACTTGAGGTGAAAAATTCAAAATAAAATAGAAAACTGCTGAAAAACTTTTGAGTTTTTCACCTACATTTTTGGCGAAAAACTTCTGTAAAATTCAAAATATTTTTCAACAAATTTTTCACTCAAAAACTTGAAATGTTCAACCAGTGCCTAACCAACACATTCTCAGCCTCCAATTGCACCGCCAAAACACTTCATCTGTTTCCTCCGAGTCCTTGATCGGTAGGTTGCCAAAACTCGTCTGGATGGCATCAGATCCTCTTGACCAGCTGCATGCCGCCCAATAACGTACATACCTGGCGATCCATTTGCATCCTTCAAGATCCTTCGTCCATCCTGTTGCTTTCAGGGCCCGAGCCGCGGTGGGAAATTTACCACTGGCCCGCCGAGGCAGACTCTGATACTTCCACCCTGATTCTTCAACCATCCAACTTTCCACCTAAGGGAGCACCGTCGCCGGTCACGTAAGGGCCTCTTAGGGGGGTTATGTTGTAGGAGCATAACCCCCCTAAGAGGCCCCTGTAGGTGTCGGAGGGGTAGGTCACGGGCACACTTTTGCACGCCATTCTCGGTGCGTCCGTGGCATGCTGCATCCGCCTCCCGCCTCCCGCGCCTCTTTGCACGCCATGGTCATCCCGTGGCATGCCGCCCCCACCTCCCGCCTCCTGCACCTCCGACGCACGTGTCCAACCCTCCACATGCTAGCTCACTAGCTTCATTGCTACAGGCAAACATCATTATTGTTTACAAGCTTTCAAGAATGTATGTATAACAAAAAAAGTACAGTACAAAATGTCCAAAATATACTGTGGCACACTACGGGTGCGACCGAGCGGAGCTGGACCTCCGGTGTAAGCCCCATGCTCTTCAGCGTCTTCAGCCACTACTTGCGCTGACATGTCAGCATGTCAGCCTACACATTGCGTGGTGGGGCTCCGCCAGATGGAGCCAACGGAGGTGCAGTAGGTTCTGCAGGAGGTGCTGTAGGCACGGGCACAGCGGGTCCAGGGACTGACGATGCAGCAGCTGGTGTGTTGGCTGGCGTCTGGATGATGAAGATGACATGGGGAAGGGGGGTGGAGCTCGGGAACTGCGCAGCAGGCACCGGTGCGGGCTTCGACCTTGACGAGGTGGTAGCAAGGTAATTTACCAGCGTAGCCTTCTGTTTCAACAAGCTGTGTGAGGGTGCCACTGGGGCATGGTGGAACGCACATGTTTGCAGTAGACTCACCAGCGGGTTTGTTGTCATTGCTTTTATGCAGCCACCCTCCTCTGCCGGGTGTGTGTTTCTTCTGCAAGTGCAGGCTGTTGTTGTCTTCTGCATCCAATGACACCGCAAGAGAGACATTCAGGCAAGGGGGTACTTTGTCGTCGTCGGTGTTGTCTAGCACGGGGACAGGGTTCAGGCCACGGCGCAGGGCCAATTTGAGGGGAGACCGGCGGCGCTGTTGTACCCTGGTGGGGATTGGATGGGCCCCCGCCTTCCTGAACCTGCGACCTCTGGCGCCTCCTGCACCTTCGACACCTCCGGCGCCTCCTACACCTTCAGGAGAGCCGCCTTTGCTGCCAGAGCGCAAGGGAAGGAGCCGTTGTGGGCCGGATTGTTGAACAGACTCAATGGTTGGTTGGCATCCGACAAGGCTGAAGAGGAGAGAGGGGAGTCTGGGAGGTAAACCCCGCTGTGTCGTGGAGCAGGTCCGAGGAGGATATCGGGGTGGTAAAAAAGGAGGGCCATGTCGTTGGCAGGAGCAGGGGGAGGGGTTCTAGCAACCTCATCTGCCATTTCAGAGGGAGGGCACTTGCAGGAGATTTTCAGTCAGGAAATCAATGAAATAAAGTACTGTTACACACCAATACTTCTATGAAAGTGGGTGCAACATTGATACAACACAGGGAGAGCCTGTAGCAAAGAGATGTAAGTGAAAAAAATGCGACAAAAGGGATGTTTGCTCACCGCAAGCAGAATTTAAAGAGGACAAAAAAACGCGGAGGCAGGAGCCCAGCGGCAGCAGAAAAAGGGCCAAGTAGTGATTTCTAGCAGGGGCAGCAATGTGCTGAGTGTAATCACTCACGACAACCACAGGGAAGGGAGGCAGGAGGAGGAGAGAGAGAGAGTCAGGCCGGTCCAAATATTTGGCCCACCTTCACCGTGGCCTCCGCCACTCGGCCCGAGCCTTACACGTAATCGGTGCGTCATTTGGCAGCCAATCAGAGCATGAATAACCATGAGCTCAGTGCAATGTTTTTTTTATAGATGCACGGCTGTATCTCCCCCCTCTGGCACAATCCGGACATGGGTCCTGGATACTGCCCGGAGATGTTCTGATTTAAATCAGATTTTTACCCGCAGTTTGAAATCCTGTGCTTGAAAATGTGCCGAATCCATACAAGTCCTAATTAGGACTTGACCCTTAACTACCACATCTTTCATGAACTGTCATTCCAAGTACCTTGCAGTCGCCGGCCGGGCTTCAGCAAATCAAAGTAGTGTTCATAAGTACTCTGCTACCCCTCAGTGAGTCTTTCCCAGTCCATTTCGGCTGTTCTCTGAAATAATAATTGGTACAACATATTTGGTAGTAAAGCCGTGCATGCAGCAGGATGGTACAAGCTGAGTTCCACCAGTTGAGAGAGAAAACAATACTCAGGCACTATGTGCAGTGACAAGTGTTTACTATCTATCACATATACCACCTGAAAGTCTTGGATTATGCAGGGAAGGGAGGTGTCGGAGGCCACATTGGAGGTGCTGGAGGTGGTGTCATTCCTTGAACCACTCAGTTTTTTTTGTGTTCAACTGGAACTAGAGAATATGATACAATTTGTGAACCTTAATTGAGAATAAATACCTATATTAGAAGCCAATGTCATTTTTTAGTAGGTGTGAGAGGCCTCTGATGGCCTCCGACGCCTCCCATGGCCTTCGACACCTCCTCTGATGGCCTTCACCATCTCCGACACCTCCACTATCTTCCAGTATCTTGCAAGTACACATCTCTGATATGGACCTTAAGGATCTATCTGCATGGGATGGAATCATTAATAAGTAACTGTCATCGATGCTTGAAACACAAGAAGCAAACCCTAAATAAAAATATTCCGAGAGTAGCAGAAAGCTCGAGGCCTCCAAAGCCTTATGCACTGCTGATGCTTCTGGAATACACAAGCTACTGGTATGGTTATAAACCTGTGGGACATAAACCTCCATGCTTTAATTCATCGACCATATTCAGCAGATTCGACAGTAAGTAGGAGGTTTGCTATTGATTGAATTCAAGTCAAATCATGGTGCAAAGACAGAGCCCTATATTTGTGGTGATAGTACAATACCTTTGATTATTCATTTAGAACATGTAGATCTACAGCAATGGGTTTGACAGTGCAAATATCAAACTGGAAGCAGGTTGGAGGCCTCCGACTCATCGGGAGACTTCCTGAACAGGTGAAGCATTTGCCAAAACAGATTCCAACATGTGGGACCCCTTCCGATTGTCTATGTGAATAGCTACATTCACCGGAATTAGGCAGGTAGTGCAGCAATATCAAACTGGGGATGGCGAAGGCCTCCGACGCAGCCTCCGACGTGCTGGGAAGCCTCCCAAGCTGTTCAACTATCTCACCAGATGAATTCACCTGTGTGTGAGTTCCTTATCAATGGCTAGAGTCACTGGAATTAGGTGCATGGTGCACCAATATCAAACTGGGGATGGTGGAGGCCTCCGACACAGCCTCCGACGTGCTGGGAAGCCTCCCAAGCTGTTCAACTATCTCACCAGATGAATTCACCTGTGTGTGAGTTCCTTATCAATGGCTAGAGTCACTGGAATTAGGTGCATGGTGCACCAATATCAAACTGGGGATGGTGGAGGCCTCCGACGCAGCCTCTGATGCGCTGGGAAGCCTCCTGAGCAGTTCAACTATCTCACCGGATGAATTCACCTGGGTGTGAATACTTCCAAGTTCCTTGCCAATAGCTGAAGCCACTGGAATTAATTTTCTGGAGCATCTAACTGGCCACGTCGGAGGCCTCTGATGCATCAGAAAGGCTCCCAAGCAGTAAAAAACCCCACAGAGCAGATTCCCATGTGCAGGACCTCTTCCAATGTTCATTGTAAATAGCTGCAGTCACTGGAATCAGCTTTATGATACACAAATATCAAACTGGGAAGCTGTAGGCCTCCGATGCATCCAGAATTTCAACATTAATTATGAACCAAGCAAGGAACAAGCATGGAAAGCAAACTCAAGAAAACATACAGTATATGGTACCCAAGAAGGAGCCTGATTGGAGGCTGGAAGAGACTGTGATGTAGGTGGAGGAGGCCACAACGGAGGTTGCTGCCCCGATGCACCGTCGGTGGTGGGAAACCGAAGGAAGATCCCGAGAGCTCACGCGAGGGGCATTTATCAGCAGATGACATAACTATTATTAATAGACCTACCCCCTCCGACGCCTACAGGGCCTCTTAGGGGGGTTATGCTCCTACAACATAACCCCCCCTAAGAGGCCCTCACGTGACCGCGCCGGTGCTCCCTGGGGTGCAACTTTCAGCTCGCCATCTTTTCTCCCCCTCGAGATTTTTATCCATTACAGGCGCGTTTGTGCACGCTGGGGATTCCTTCTCGGATACGATGACTACACTGGAACGCTGCGGAATACGTTACTCGGTGGCCTCGTCATGGAACACGGCTGTAGTGACCGGCAGTCACTGTTGATCACTCCACTCCATTCATGCACGGCCCATCATTTTCTTTATTCGCACCTGGAGGCAGCTTTCTGTGGCGGATCACGGAGATGAGGGTCCGGATCCAGACTCTACCTACTAGTATGCTAACGACCAACACAGCCGATGGTACCTATTACATCCGGTCTTAATTTACGCCTCCAATGGAATGGAGCCCAGTGTCTGATCCCCATTCTTCCTTCCCGCCATGTCCGACCTCCCTGTGGGATCCTCGCTAGCCTCCGACCTTCATGTGGGACTTCACGGCAAGCCAAAGCTTGTTGCTTCTCCCGCAGCCAGCGACTGGCTCATCGACATGATCTTCTCCGCTAAGACGGCAGCAGCAGCCGAATTCATCCCAGCTCCATATATAAGAGCCGCCCTCACGACCGTGGTTAATTTTCTGGAGACAGTGGACGTTCGTAAGCAGCCTGGGAACTCAAGGGCGAATAATTCTAACATACTTCTTCTCAGAAAATCAACAGAAATCGAGAGGATTTGAAGGACTTGTGCACGAATATCCTCGAGATTGTAGCCATCCTTCGGGAAGAATTTTCTATCCACGGAAACACCGGCACCCCGCGATTCATGGGGCTCTGTGACGATTTCATAGGGTCAGTGCCCACTATCAATTCCGTGGCTCCCGGTGTATCCTCGCTCAACTGCATCTCAGCCTTCTCAACGGTCTCCACGGTGATTTGGAGAAGCTTGACACAAACCGTCAGAGCATTCGGGGTTGGTTCAAAGAGATGATACGGGCCACAAGCGCAGCGGATCAGATAGAACGGTGCAAAGGCCGTCTAATTGATTTGCGATTGAACTTCATGGTATGTCTGCCCGCTGCAATTCATCTATGTACCATTCAGACACCCCGCAGCTGGTTGCCACTATCAACACCACCTTGAACGTGGCTCAAATTCATAAGAACGTTACTGCCAACGAGAGCGCATACTATAGCCACGGTCAACGGGTCACGTCAAGCGCGAGCCTATCCAGATCTGTCTAACAATGCCAGACCCAGGAAGGGAATACCATGTCGACCGCACTCAAAAGCACCTGTCACTACAAGCATCGACAAGCCCCGGTGGACACGATACACATCTCGACAATCGTTCAATCCATTCCGTATACAACCCTCCCTGGGGCATTGGCTCAGCACCTTGATTGGCCCGAGTTCTATGCGGCGTTGACCCCTTCGTGGCATCGGTCATCCGTGCCCTATACAGCACAGACGCAGTTTCAGTCGTCACACAATCTCGGGACTCTGACTCCGGGATAATTTACTGGGACCCTTTCTCGCTCGTTGCATATATCCCCAAGTCGTGTTCTGATATTCAAATGCAGGAGTGGACGTTGGGAGTGGTTGCAGACCCTTCACGCACAGCGCTATACAAGCGGGGAACGAAAGCTAGTTGGAAACGGTGCGCTTACACTAGATTCCCAAAGAACAACCACGCTCATCGACCATAGTTCCACGTTCCCATCGGGCTCGTTCAAGGCCGCTGAACCGACTGAAACATTGGAAGCCAAGATCCTGTTGTTGTCATTTATCAAGTTTGATGATATGCACATGAACATGCTCACCATGAGCTGGCTGTCGCAGGCGCACGCATCATTTGGCCGAGGCATCTTCGAAGGAGATTGCAGATACGGTGAGAGCTAATATGACTCCATCGTGAAGCGATGTCCTAATGCTCAGGGGAGGACTGATGAACCTGCTCGGCTGTGTACTTGTGCGGGATGTTGCATTTCAACAACATGGCACAACGCGAGAGGCCCATCTTTTTGCGTGTCCCATTGACGTCAGACACGATGGTCCGCGCGTTGGCATCCAGTTTCCCGTCGCTGACCATTTCTATTGGGCCTTGGATCCTATGGGGACCACCCGGCTCTCTCAAGATGAATGTGACTCCCTGGGCATTCCTAGATTGAGGTTTCATTTTCTCCCTAGCGCGAGTTTCTGGCACGAATATCACTACAGCTCCATCCGCAGCTATTGTCGGGCCAACGGCCTTGATCCTTATACGTACGATGTGACCCGGGATCCAGAGCTACCTCTCATTGAGCTAAATCCTTGATTGAATAGAGAATAAATCATTTACGCGTCACTCAGCCCTTTAAATATCGAGACTCGAGACGATGGCGAGACGAAGATAGGGAGGTAGGTAGGTATGATCACACGGCACGGTCCGAATAACGACCATCGGTTTCCCTCTTCTCAGGATACATTGAACCCGATCCTTGGCCTCTGCAGCACCAAATTTAAGCGCAACCTTGAAACGGCTGAGACACTCCTCAGCGCGGGTGCAGATGCAAATATATGCAGAGATGCAGATGCAGATGCCGAGACGCGCTGCCCCCGCTCCACGGTCGTCGAGACGCCGCTCACACATATATGCCCGCGCGACTTGGTATGCACGCACATGTCCCCAAGACAGGACAGACACAGCACGAGATCTGCTTAACCTTGCCGCCCTCATACTTTCGCCTTCGAGGATCGGTGGTTGTATTCCAGATCAGAGGTGTTTCTCCTCTTGCCCTCCGTCGGCCACTGTGAGTTTGAAAGTTCTGATAGAGTGCGAGTAGCAGGAAGTAGTAATATTAGTACTTAGAAATATATCCTCACGACAATAACACGGTGCACCGTGGGGCATGGCGGACTCGTCGCAGGGCAGGCGCAGGGATTCCATTGTGCATATTACAATTTACAGCACCCAGGGCCCGGGCCTGCATTCCAAGAGAGAATTCCGCAAGCAGCCCGACGTGGGAACCAAGGTGCCGCTCAGTATCCTTGAACGATCGAACGTGCTATCATCGTGCTGTGGTGGAAGGGAGGGCTAGGCGAGGAGAGAAGGTAACGTTGGCCTAGATCTAGCAGCCAAAAAATCAAGTCCCTGCTCAGTCGGAATTCCAACATCGACCTACCTGAGCTTCAATCCACTGATCCTGATCGAGTAACGTACACAGAGGCGACATCAGCCTTTTGACAAATAACTTGTGGCTTGTTTGGCCTTGTGAGCTTGTCGGCAATTGCCGGCAAGCTCACAAGGTCAAAGCGGAAACAAAACACCTCTTATAAAATTCATACCGAGCCCGGACAACCTCTTGAAAACTCGGACGATGTCCTCCGCGCTTTCTCGTGACGACGCCGTACCCAGACACGGTGATCGGTTCCTATTTGTGTGATTTTTTTGCCACTAAACGGAGTCGAGCTAGTGACCTTGTGAGAACGAGGACTCACCTTGTGACCTTGCGGAGCTTGTGCAAATTTGGTGGGGCTTGTGGGCTTGTTTGACCTTGTACAAGGTCACAAGCTATTTGTCAAAAGTCTGATGGAAGCGAGAAATGTACTGCAGAGAAGGAAAGCCTGAGACCGAAGGACAACTTGTGCGAAGCCCTGGCATTGAGTAGCGTACCTCACTTAAAATCGGTGTATGGACTGTTTAGTTTATTCGAGTCTAAAGACGTGACTTGACGACTAAAATCGGCCCATGCGTGTCGGGATGATAGCAAAACGTACGAGTAAAATGAAATGAAACTTGACCAAGAAATGGAATGAAATATAAGGGAAAAAGAAAAAATCTATGTGAATTGTGATGACCCAGACCCGAATCGAACGGGTGCGTTCCGCGGAAAGGTTTCTCCGGATTCTCGAGTTCGAGCGGATGCGAAGCCATTTCGCCACTGGGTCCATGCCCTACCTAAGAATGCGAGCTTCAATAGGATATTCAGAGAGGACGAAGTGAAGTAACACTAACCTAGAATTAATTGAGCTGAAATTACAGTTGAACTGGGTTCAGGTGCTTATGTTGTTTTCCAGCATGAGTCGACGCGAGCGTTGAGGAGCCGATCCGAGCATGGAGAAAAGTGGCAGAGACAAACGGGTTTTAAAGAAGATAGAGAAAAAGTTTTTCTGGAAAAGATAATGACCCAAACCCGAATCGAACGGGTGTCTTCCGCGGAAAATTGTCCCAATCGATAAGTTTGACGGATGCGAACCACTTCGCCACTGGGTCCATGCCTCGCATCGAATATCAGCTTTAATAGCACACTGAGCGGGAACGAAGTCCGACCTTGAATCAAATATTACAGTAATCTTCTAGCTAAAATATTCATGATGAATGGAACTGGGTTCAGGCGCTCGTGTTTGTCTAGCGTACAAGAGTCGAAGACCCGAGCAAAGAGAAAAGTGCCAGAAACGAACGGAAGAAAAAGAGAAAAAGAAAAAAGAAAAGGTTGGAAACCGTTCAGTGACCCAGACCCGAATCGAACGGGTGCCTTCCGCATAAAGTAGTGATCCTAGAAGATAGTATAAACGGATGCGAAACCACTTCGCCACTGGATCAATGGTGTTGCTAGGGCATCCCAGGTCAAATAGCTCGAAACCGATGTGTGCATGCTTGCTCCTTGGTTTGCTCGTGGATGAAAACCAGGCTTCGTGTTTTGACTCTCAGTGACGGGGCTTGTCCAGGATCTACACGAGTACGGCCGAGAACCAGACATTGTTGGAGGGTCGTAGCAAGGTTTCCGATGTACCAGTTCCAGCCAGAGCTCTGAGCATGTCGGCGTCGAATGTCAAGAAAGAGACCAAGAAAGCGGTGCACCCTCTTTACCTCTATTTGCCCTTCCCTCTCATCCCTTCCTCACCCAAAAATTCAATGCCCTCTGCATTCTGGCGCTGTCATTCGCCTTCTTGGGCACGGACGGCAGCCAAAGGTCGATCCGGACGGTGCAGCGCACGACCAGCCACCCCTTCCAGTTGGTGCACCCCATCAAGTTCCGTCTTCGCGTCCGCCTCGTCTGTGCACCCTCCCTTCAAGTTCCGCCGCGCGCGGTAGATCTCTGCTCGAGCACGGCGTCGACATGAGCCTCTTCCTGGGAGCCCGCATCTGCATCTGCATCTGCATCGGACAAGGGCGAGGGCGAGGATGCGAGTTCGCCCGGATGCGAGATGTGCGCCCCGCAGGCTCGTGGCGATGGGCACGCCGCAGACCGCATGGTGCGCAAGTGGTGGGTGCTCTACAAGCTGTCAGGGCACCCGCGCGAGTTGATAGGTGCGTCCCTTCTTTCCTCGCCTTCCTTCCTTCTATTCCTTATTTCTCACTTCACTTCTATTCCTTCCTTCCTCACTTCATGCCCTCGCTGTGCGAGCGCTCGCACTGCTTTTCTGTAAACACATGTCCTTTTTTCCCTTTTTTTTCTTCGTACTTTCTAGTTTTGTTTATTGGCGGTTCTTTGCGTGCCCGTACCGCGCGCGTCTTTGGATTATACGCGCTCTTTTGGGCACGCCCTTCTTTCTGTCCCTCGCCGTCGTCGTCTTCGCGTCCGCCTCGTCGCGTGCGGCCCGTCGCGCCCGTACCCCCCCTTCTGCCACGCGAGCACGGCGTCGTCGTGGGCGGGCGACGTGCACCTGTCCGTCGTAGGCCGGATGACACGGGGATGCGGGCGAGGCGCACCCATCCCCGCCTACGATGTCCCGCTCTTTGTGCACCTCTTTCCGTCCGCTTCGTCGCGTGCCCGTACCCCCTTCCCCTCCGCCCCTCGCGCACGGCGGGCGCTGCACTGCTGCCCCTCGCAGGGCGTATGGGCCGTGAACGAGCTCGTATCGGACACGCACGCGTTCGCCCGGACGTCAGATGCGCACGGCGCACTGCGGGACGAGTTGCGGGTGCAGGTGCGGGGACAGCGCAGCAAGCACATCGCGGGCCTCACAGCACCCCAGGCCTCGCGAGCACATTCCACTTTCCTTCATGGGCAGAGTGGAGTGGAGTGGGGCACCTTCCCTCCCCCCTCCTTCCTTTCTTTACTCGTTCCCCTCGTTCCCCTAAATTTATTCTCCCTTCCCTCCCTCCCTTCCTTACACTTCGTATTCGGCATTCGTTCGAGCCCTTCCCACCTCGCGTTCGCCCGTGCGCAGCCTTGGCGCCGCGCTTCGTCTCCGCTCCCCGCTTCCGTCCCGTCCAGCCGCGCCCGCGCGTCCTCTTTGTTGAGCGGAGTCGGAATACAGCACTCCTCCCTTCGCAGCCTTCCGCGCTCTGCCCTCCCCTCCCTCCTTTCTCCATCCGTGCCCTCCTTCCACTTCCCTTCCTTCCATTTCGTTTTCGTTTTCATATTCGTTGGAGCGCAGACTCCGCTCTCCGCTCTCTTCCCGCCGCGCCCGCGTTCTGTTGGCCGGAGTCGAGTGGGGTCGAGTGGGCTTTGTATGGAGGAGTGGGGACTGTAGCGCGCGCGCTTCGCGTCCCCTCCCTTCCTCCCCCCACCCGTCCGCCGTCGCTTCTGAGACGCGCCCCCGGTTATGGTCGTGGTGATTGCTCTCAAGTTGGGGTATCCACAAGTACAGTAGACCTTGCATCGATATAATAGAATTCTGTTTCGAAAGAGAATTCAATGCTGCCTGTTGAACCGCTGAATGTCGACAAACACTCCCCTTGCGTTCTGCATAAGTAACCCTTTGACTCTGTGCCTTTTTCTTCCAACTTAGCTCCTACCAAATTTGAGAAAACAAATTGAGAGAACTTGTAAAACGGGAAACGGGGGGGGAAGTCGTTGTACAACTCATGACGCAGACCCGAATCGAACAGGTGTCTTCCGCGGAAACATTCTTCCGCCAGTCTGCAAAGTGCGCGGACACGAAACCACTTCGCCACTGGGTCCACAGTCCACACAGGAATACTACGTTAAATAGAGATGGGCGTCCATTGCCTTGGCTCCGGTGGGGTCTGTAATTGCCTAGGCTGGAAAAAAAAAATGCATTACTGCGAATTGAGTGTGAAAGAACAATGTTAACGTGAAGGCCGAAGATCCCAAAATCAAATCAAAGAAACGGCAGCCTGCCAGAAGGCGTGAGCCCTACGAAAGAGTAAGGGCCTGATCGGGTGCACAAGAATTTTTCCCGAGAATTTTTCTAGACTCCCAATCCTGCCATTATCCCGTCTCTCTCTGTACTCTAGGACCAAATAAATCTATAATTTATGGATTCTTATTGTGGAGAGAGATGTGCGAAGCAAATCAGGTGAAGTTGTTAGCATTCTAGGCTTTTCTAGTACAATTCTTGAAGAATCCTAGAATCTTTAGTACTTCAAGTTATTAGCTAATATGTTAACCACTCTCATCAGCTTGACTTGATTGAAAAACAGCGTAAATATGTGGAAAGCACATGAGGGGACGAGCAAGAGGCAGAATAGAAATTCTAGAGAACTTCTAGAGTACCCGATCAGGCCCTAAGAAAAAAGTGAGGGAAAAGAAAAATGAACACACAATCATTATGACCCAGACCCGAATCGAACGGGTGTCTTCCACTGAAACGTATCCAGCAATTTGTAAAGCTGAGCGGATGCGAGACCACTTCGCCACTGGGTCCATAGCACATGCAACTCAGCTCGAAGACAAACTGTCCGCTGAAGCCTTCCCGAACCCAGAATCGCTGGATTGATTTTTCTTCTTTTTACATAATTCGATTCCGAGACGATGACCCGATAGGAAGTGGAGAGCTGCGCATATGCGGCTCAGGGTTATCGTGTAAGGGAAGTAGTTCGAAACTCGAGACAGCAGCCTGAGGACTCGGACCTAATAGGTGCCGCGAAGGGACACGGCATTTGGCATTGGGAGAGAAGTCTTTGGAAGAAAATGAAAATTGTCAGACTCCGACGACTTGCCCCATTATATTTTCCAGGGAGCAGCACCGGCGGCATCTTGCGGCGAGGCTTGAAACTTGATGAATGTGGACGCAAATGTGAAAGAGTTGAGAAAGGGGGGATCGTACGATTCGTAGGTAGGCTCCCTGTCTACGAGCTTTACCAGTTGAGCCACACAATCGAGCCGCGTTGAGATGGGGTCAAGGATGTCGGAACGCAGAACTGAGCAGTCCACTCTCCTTGTAATAGAATGCAGATGTGGACCTCTCACTCCGTACCCTCTATCTCCTGTCACCGACATTATCATCCCTCCCGAAGCCCTACTGTAGGGGAATAAAAAACTTTTTTAGATCCACGGAATGGCTCGGGCCTGAGTCGAACGGGCTCTTGTGCATAAACTGCTCCTACAGCTAAACTTCTGATAGAATGCAGACATGGGCCTCCCACCACTGAGCCTTCCTTACCCTTTATCTGCTCTTACTAACATGGCCATTGAGCTCTGTTCAAAATGTATCCTGGCTACCCTCCCACGGCTCGGGCCCGAATCGAACGAGCTCCCTTAGCATACATTTCAATGCAACGGAATGCAGCCGTGGACCACCCACCACCGACTTTTCCTTACTTTCTATCGACTTTCACTAACATCAGCATTTTGTGAACCTCCTCAAGCCCATTAAAAAAACGAAAGTTTCAACTTTTGCACGGCTCGGGGCCGAATCGAACGGGCTCCTTCTGCATAAGCTGCTTCTCCAGGATTGAACGCTGACGTGGACCACCCACCCCCGAGCCTTGCCTACCCTCTATCCACTCCCACTAACACCAGCATTTTCGCCAGCCTCCCAAAGCGTAGTAAAAGAAAAGTTGTGACGGAACATAATTATAGCTCGGGCCCGAATCGAACGAGCCTTCTGCACCAACAGCCCTTAATCGAAACCCCATGGAACGCAGACGTGGACCTCCCACCACCGAGCCACCTGAGCCTTTGATTGCCTTGGATTGCACGTCCCATAATTGGGCAGAAAATGAAAATGAAAGCCAGATGTTTTCCCAGGCCGATTCGAACGAGCTCCTTCTGGAGGAACAGTTGATCGTCAAATCCATCCTGGAATACAGATATGAACCAGCTGCCACCGAGCCTTCCTTATTCTCTCTCTACTCTAACTATCATTACCATTTCTTGAACCTCCCGAAGTCCCATTTAAAAAAATGTTTCATTACCTTCACATGGCTCGGGCCCGACTCGAACGGGCTCCTTCTGCATAAACTGCTTCTCCAGGAATTCAGGATTGAACGCTGATTTGGACCTCCCACCACAGTGCCTTCCTTTCCCTCTCTCCGCTGACTGATATCAGCATTTTCCTGACTCCACTGGAAAAAAAATGCTTTGATTTCACATGGCTCGGGCCCGAATCGAACGAGCTTCATCTGCATAACCTGGCTACATTTCGAAGAAATAGAATACAGATTTGGACCTCCCACCACCGAGCCGTTCCAAGCCTCTGATTGTGCTTGCCAGAATTTCCTTCAAAAATAAATGAAAGATGTTGTCTGGGCTCGATTGGAAAAAAGCTCCTGCATCCCCTTGCGGATTTCGAGATCAACCGGATACAGACGAGCCTCCTGAAGCCCGAAGTTTCACGAGAATCGTCGCATGGCTCGGGCCCGAATCGAACGAGCTCCTTCTGCATAATGGACAGGATTTGCAAAAGCCGCATGGGCCGCATGTGACTTCATCCGGCTTTTGGTCATTGTGCAAAGCCGCAGGGAGAACAGAGTATTTGGGGCCTCAACAACATACATCTCAGTAGAATACATGTAAAACAAGTGTATAGTAGATGGTTATATCCTGAGACTGTCCAGGCTGAGCACCAACGGTGTGTTAGAGCAGCCTACAATTCAGCGGCTTGAATGATGCTGTTAAAAAAAACGGGTTTCGCGAGCTCTGTTGGCAGAAGTTTTTCCACACTATTGAAGATTTAAGTATGTCAGGCATCGAATGGAAGCTCGGAGGTGCAATGGTGGTGCTTGACTCAAAATAAACAGGAAAGCCGCTGCGGCTTTGCACAAGTGTCAAAAGCCGCATGCGGCTCGTGCACATCCTGTCTAATCTGCTGTTACAGGAGTTCTTATCGAACATAGAGGTGGGCCTCCCATCACTGAGCCTTTATTCCCTTCTTTCCAGCCTCAATAACCTCTGCGTTCTCTTAGAGGGATATACGAAACTTCCACTGCCCATTGAGAACCTTCACACCAAACATCCAGATTCCACCGGCCCCGACCTCTGCACAAGTGGGAGTTCAAGTGCAGAGATAATGGATATTGCGGGTAAAAGTTGTTCCTCCTTCCGTGTACACTGACTGGGAACGAATGAAACTGTGAATGCATGTTCAACTTTCGGGCTCGGAGTCGCAGGATTCAATATTGCCGGGGTCCAGAATCCGCTACGCGGAAGGCGCACCCATTTTGGATCCGAAGCTGGGTCGGCCTTCATCCTCGCTCCATGTCCTCGACGGCGCGGAGTCCCAGAAAAAACCTCAATTTCTGAACGACTTATATCTGGGCGCACCGTTCCATATTTACGGTATCATGTGGCGACGTTCGTCACGAAAGAGTTGGAGAGAATTCCGCGAACAGCTCGACGTGAAAATCCGGTAGACAAGTCATCTCGCCGCTCAAGTGTCGCACGACCTTCCCTCTACTCACGGTACATACACTGACCGTGGCGAATCGGAGGAGAGAAGGTGACATTAGCCTAGATCCAGACGCCGAGAAAATCAAATCCCTGCCCATTCGGAATTCCAACATCGACGTGCCTGGGATTCGATTCAGCGACTGATGATACTGTGAGAATTGAAGCGACAAAAAGACGCACTGCAGCGAAGGAAGGTCTGGGATGACAACTTGCGCGAAGCCCTGGCGTCGAGTAGCGTACACGCGTCACTTAAAATCAATGTATGGACTGTTTGGGCACAGATGTAGACCCAGGCAAGATTATCAAATTTAGGCACAACCGATGTGCAATTCAAAATGCAAAGTTTCAAGTAGGAAAAAAGTCGCACTGAAATGAAGACTGAAACTACTTGAATCAACTTAGATTTCAGCCCAATTTTTTTCTAACTCCATACTTTGTGTCTCGAATTGCACATCGATTGTGCCTAAATTTGGCAACTTCCGGTGTGAGTTCAAGGTGCGTTCTATTCTTCAATGTCCAGATAAGTGTGGAAGACTGTTCCTCATTGGGTTATTAGCCTTTTTTCTGAGATCAGATTCTAATTTGGTTCAATTATGCTGGCCAACATTCTGACAAAGACCAAGATAAATTTTATAACGATTTCCCAAGGCCAACTAGAGGTTCTGGATCGTTTACCGGCCGACGCTGGGGGCAGTTCTCAGTCAATTTGGCTGAGGGTTTTTTTTTTTCCGGCCGGACCTACCAAAGGATCCACCGGCTTTCTTGACTTGAATCGCTCGCATATGCTCAGGAATTGGCCGCATTTGCGATACCATAGTGGGAGTCCGGGTGAAGCCGTGGTACCGTCGGCAGGCTCGATCAGGTGACTCGGCGCGACCCATTGCGACGCCAAACAGAACCATGCAACACAACCATAAATCCTGGGGACATTTGTGGGATGCTGATATACAAGGTATGAACAGGCGAAATACTACTATAAGTTATCCTATCATTGTCCCTGGTAATAACAAAAAATGGCCAGAATCAAGATTTTCTATGGTCCGCAACAAAACTGGAGCTAACGGACGTGGAGAGTGTCGCGGCATCTGGGCCCTCATCCGGATCGAGTAGCGTAGATTGGGCAAGGTCGGAAACCTCTGTTGTTCGGCTGGATATGGTTGACAACCCAATCGTCGCGTTCGATTTCGGGATAGCCATGGCCCCAGAGACCACAACCGCGGGGACGGGAGCGACAGAAGATGGGACGGTGCCTCCTGCGACGCTGGTGGAAGCTACGGGGACGGGATCCGGAGTCCACCGCAGCTTCCAAGTGGCCTTCTCGGAATTGTCGGGTACGCCATGGAATGTGTGGTCCAGAGTTGGCCAAATGACGCTCTTCCAGCGCCTGTTCGACACGTCCCAGCCGCGGGAAACAGTTTCATACATCGGCAACTCCGGCGTGGTATCTTGATCCTCTGGCGGGCTCGGCTTGAATGAGAGCTTATCCAGGAATTTCCCGAACACGCTGGGTGGTCTCCGCTTCTTCGACTTATTGAGCGGGGCAACCGACAGAGACATCGCAGGATGCTTCGTTGCTGCGCCACGGGCGGCCACAGGAGAAGGAGTTGCACTAGCACGGACGTCCACAGGAGGATCTGTGTGATGTGAAGTTTATAATGTGGCCCTCCAAGCGCGATAGATCTCACCTTGACTGAGATTCACGGTGGAAGCTTTGTATATGGTGAAATGTTTGTCAGTCAGGGCGTCCGGGATATACGTCTGTCGATTGTTAGCGCGGAATTGACAAGCTAGCAGAATCACGCACAGATGTAAGCAACAAAATTCCGCGGCCCTTGGTGCGAAGGGCTGGATCAGTGACCCAGACCAGGATCTGATTGCGCAGAATGGATGAGATGAGGGGCATCCCATCACTGTACAGGCGCTGCGCGACTTGAGCCCACCTAACATTATGTGACCAGGGACAGAGAACGGTACCTTATCATGCACGAGATGTAGCCCTAGCCCAAACTCAACCTGCATCTCGTGCGCAACGT